AATGTTAAAAAAATTAATTATAGTAAGAAACCGAACCGAACCCGAACGATTTCAAAATTATATCTGAAACCGATGGTTCCATTTACTAAATACCCGAAAATTTCTGGAATCGAAAAAAATCTAACCGACCCGCGCCCAGCCCTAGCACAGTCCATGATCCCCTTTGAATATTTGGTCCACAATTTAGAAATAAGGATATGTATTTGACATCGTAAATTAAAGTAATATGCACGAATAGACTTTTTTTTAAATTTTTTTTTTACGAATTAAAGATATACAACTTAATTTAATTTATAAGAAACAGAGACCTCATAAATCATAGTTATATTTTTCATGCCTCTTTCATTCACGACTCTAATAAATGTAACCCGTGTGGACTTGTCATGTTTAATTAGTTGAATATAACTTGTGTCTATTAAATTACTAATACATAAATATAGACCTAAATATCAAACACGAAATAACGGAAATTTATCTTTTTTCGTTTATGATCTTGGTCAAGGATGGATGAAAAACCGAAGAAAATACTTTCGACAAATACGGAAAAATAGATTTTATCTAAAAAGTGGATCAAGGATTCATCATACTTCTCTCAGCTTCAAACCCAAATACCGTCCTTCTAGAGTGTACTTGGCCCCTTTGATTCGGTTATGAAAACAGGAGACATGGAGCGAATCCGAAAGTCCTTCCGGTATTCAAGTGCCAAAGCCTTCTCTCTTACGATTTGGAACGCCTTGCTAACCTCCTCTTTCTGTTTCTGTAACAGCTTTCTAAGTCTCTCATGTCGTTCCAAAAGCTGCACAGGGTGATTAAGATTTAGTTTCGAGTGTCATTATATCAGATGCTATTATAGAAAAGTAACAGGACAAAACATTACTTGTTTGGAGGTTGAATGGATATCATTAAAGACGAAAATAAAGTTAAAATCTTGTCCATACCATACTATCTTGTCTAATTTACGTAAGGTTCAACAAGTTACCTACGGTGTTCTTTTTTTAAAGAAGGCCAAAATATTACTTGCTTTTGCAGGTAATTTGGGACAAAAAAATGCTGAAAGACATTAAAGAGTAAAACGAAATAAATAAATCTTGTCAGCTGTACCATTCAATATAATCTACTGCGTGACTAAAAATCATGCACTGCAAGAATATCAAAGAGAAATGAACATGAAGATATTACCACAGACTCTGGTGGCGGAGGAGATGGAGATTCGCGCTCGGTAAGCCCTAACACCAGAAAGTGGAAGTTAGTCGACTAGACAGAATAAAAACGAAATAAAACCGAGGATTTAATGTGTTATTACAACTCATCGAATAATTATCTGTCCTTCGCTTCTTGCAGCATAGTTCATGGTTGTGATTGGTAAACCCTCTTAAAATTTCCATAATCTCATCTTCCGAATCGGGTATATTTGACTCACAACTTTCCTTTGGAACGTCCAGTGAAGATGGATTCACCGAAACTTCTTTTCCCGCCCCAATGGCCTTAGAGAAATCATTTTTTCCCTTAAAAGTAGACGAATTACATTGATTTTTGCCAAC